TGCAGAGGCTGCTCCTCACGGTTCATGTCCTCACCTCGTCAGAGATTGTATAAAAACCAACATACGAGATTTGGTCTTTGTATTGAAAATGAAGAGTCATCTACCAATGAAAGGTACGAAGTATTGAAATTTTAACCAATAAGACTAATGTCGGATAGAATTGTCGTATTCGCCAAGTTACCCATACGTAAAAAACCGATTTAAGATAACTTTACCAATTTAAGATAACTTCGTATTGCCCAATCACAACTCGTTATTTGGTCCAGGCAAAACCTCTGCAATACAATGCGAACGTCGGCTTCACTTTAAGAAATGCCAATTCACCGTCGAAGCTGTATACATTTATCATTGAGTATTGTGTTCGAAGTGTCTTTGTTGGCACCGATCACATTGGGTTGGATTTGAGGCTGAGTCGAATGTGAAACTCGCTCAACATATTTCCACAACAGAAATATATGGGTGTAGGGTTTTCACGCGTGCTTTTTGGGGTATTTACTCGTGTCGCGTATTTTGAACAATTTTTAGGGGGTTCACGCGTGCTTGGGGTTTTCACGCTTGCTGGGTTACTTGCGCGTGCTTTTATTGACCGATTAACATGAAAATCGTGTTGCTGGTCCGGACCATAATTGTTATGACAAAGCATGTACCGTATCATGCGGCATGACATACTATCACGATCAATACAGGACCAATTCCAGTCATCTTCACCACTACGAGATGCCCTCAGAGATGAGACCAGTGCCGTACACACATACACAGTCATACCTCATCATCGATGTGCCGAGGACATCACGTCGGGCTTCCACAACAGCCATGACCACCTCTATCTCGACGAATACAGGTCCATTTTAACTCACTCATCGCCTGGCCCCACCTCTGAGTGATGTACTCAGAGGTGGAGCCAGTACCGTACATGCATTCGTTGCCTCGTCATCTCTCGGACGCGCTACATGACAGGTGTCAATTATCCGAACAGCCATGACCACCTCTATATCTCGGCCAATACTGGTCCCAATTCACTCATTCTTCGCCTGGCCCCACCGCTGAGTGAAGTACTCAGAGGTGGGACTGCCTTGTTCACGTTGACATGGGCTAGCCTCCCCATTGGCGTGCTACACGAACCATGTTCTTCATCACTATAGACATGACCTGCTCTATGCAGGCCTATTATGGTAGAATTGGGATGCTTGTTAATGCTGTGTACTACCACTACGAACTATAGATAGAATGAGCTTATGCTACATAAACATCAAATTTTTCGTGGTACCCTTGGATCAGAAGGGCAGCTCCTTTGTGGCAGCAGGGCCGGGGGGCAACTTCGCGACCTCAGCTTTGCGCTTCTTCTTGCTACTTTTACGACTATGTGCCTTAAACTTAGCTATGAATGAACTAAAATCGGGTAAGGGAATATGAAGGGCGCCGTAGATTGGCGCCATGAGGAGGAGGTTGAACCTCATCTCCCAGTTTGGAAGCGCTTCCCAAATCTCGTCGATATACACCTATAATCATAAGCTACAGTCAATAAACAGAGTTCGTTACCATCCGCAGATTTGATTCTTCGTCGTCTCCCGCGTCCATCAAGTCCTTCCGCTTTGTACAGTACCTGCTGTACACCGGCCTTTCGGCGTCGGCATGGTGCTTCGCGAAGTGATAGGTAACCTGGTTGTGCGTGAGTGGAACTTCGTTGTTGCACAAGTTGCACGTGTAAATTGGGGCAACCTTGAACGCTGGCATCCTGGAAATGAAAATATGGCGAATGCTGTCCAAGGATTACATTGATATTTGGTTGGCCCATAATTTGGTTGGTCCATCTCATTAGGTGTGATTTACCAAAATTCTGTGATATGCGGACGAAAAAGAAGTGAAGTCAGGGGGAATTGAACCATGTACCTTGTGATTCCGAATAAGGTACCAAACCACTGAGGTATTCCCCGTTTGTGAAGACATAATACAATTATGTGAAAGATGTCATAATTGTTTTTATATTCACATTTCTACGATGCAATGAAGAATTCTTAGGAAATATCTTGAGAATTCTTAAGCATGATGTGGCGCGTAACACCAATGACATGTACATTATCAGAGGACATCTCAAACAGTTGAAGTGTGCGATGCGATGGAAGGAACTGCAGAACACTCTTGAAATACATTGGGATGAAGAATTCTTATGATGAAGAATTCTTATACATTCTTAAGTATTCTTAAGAAGGGTTTGAAACCTCGTACGAGGCGGAAATTACCAGCATTTTAGTTATGTTGGAGGCCATTGCGGCATCCAGAAAGGGTCCTGTACATTGTATCCATGCAGACACGAGTTTGCGATGGGTATAGCGGTGGATGCAAATTACGAACTCTTAAGAAGTGAGGGAGACTTCGTAAAAAATGCGGGTAACTGTTTCAAAGATATGTACATCCCTCTATTTCCAGATATCGTAATGAAACGTTGATTGCAGAAACTGTTTCCTTGCTCAGATCTGTTTTAACCTATGAACCTCGAAGGTGCAGCAAGCAGTGATGGCGGTAGTCGCGGAATCGGATCTGAGTCCGACCTGACCAACGTACGTCATCCAAGCGTATGGAGCAGCAGCAATGTGGAGTCCAGTAGTAGTTCCAATGAAAGCGATCGATTGGTATTCGGATACTCCCCACGCGATTCAACGCTACCGACACACGGACTGCGTTCAACATTGGATGGGGTTAAACCCACATGGGTGACTTTGAAGAATTGTGACAACTTTGCCGACGCTAAGCTGTACATGGATGAGATCACCACGTTCCGGTTGGTCACCCATAACATGGTGTGAAATTGTAACTTTATCGTAGATACAAGTACAAGCGAAACTACAAGTCGGGCGCAGCGAAAAAAGTATACTTGTACGGATGCATCAGCCACGAAGTGTGTCCGCATGCTGTTCGAATTGTCGTACAACAGCATGGTGCAGAAGTTCAAGACTCTGCTGCCCCCCATA